TGGGGGGTCTCTGCCAGCTTGGACACCCCTCTCCCTGCTCCCCGGGGAAGGAGCCACGCCTGGTCCAGGAAGAGCCGGGGATGAGACCCCAGGGTCTGCTCTGGCTCACAGGGGCCCCCCCTCACCCATCTCCTCACCCCCCAGATGCCAAGATCCGCATCTTCGACTTGGGCCGGAAGAAGGCCAAGGTGGACGAGTTCCCCCTGTGCGGCCACATGGTGTCGGATGAATATGAGCAGCTCTCCTCCGAAGGTGAGGGGGGCTGGGGCCTTCCCTGGGAGGTGGGGGCTTGTTCGGGGCGGTGCTTGCCTGCGGGGGTGGGTAGGGTCAATAAACCTGCCAGGAAGATCCCAGCAAGGGGCTGCTGGTTGGGGGGGGCCCTTGTTCCTGTCCCAAGTTCACTCTGTTCTCCCCCCCAGCGCTGGAGGCCGCCCGGATCTGTGCCAACAAGTACATGGTGAAGAGCTGCGGGAAGGACGGCTTCCACATCCGCGTGCGCCTGCACCCCTTTCACGTCATCCGCATCAACAAGATGTTGTCCTGCGCCGGCGCCGACAGGTGGGGGATCCTGGGGGGTAGGGGGGACCCCGCAGCCAGTTAAGCCGACCGGCCCATCTGCCGTGGGGGCCCGGTGTGCAGTGGCTGCGCACAGCACCCCCCCTGGTTGTGTACGTGCTCCGTGCCCCGTACGGAGCGCCCTAAGGGACCGCGGGGACATGGACACGTTGCGTTTAGGGGGGCAGTTGATGTGGGCGGTGACTCCCTAAGGGGCTGCGGGGACATAGGCGGTGAGGGGGGCAATGCCCTAAGGGGACATGGGTGTTTGGAGCAGGGAGTGATGCCCTGTGGGCATAGGGGGTGTTTGGGGTGTGGCGGAAGGCAGGGGAGGTGGGGGGCGTTGCGAGTGGTGGGGGCAATGTCCTCCGTGGCCCCCCCAGCTCATGCCCCGTGGATCTTGGCAGGCTGCAGACGGGGATGCGTGGCGCCTTCGGCAAGCCCCAGGGCACCGTGGCTCGGGTGCACATTGGCCAGGTCATCATGTCCATCCGCACCAAGGCCCAGAACAAGGAGCACGTGGTGGAGGCCCTGCGCAGAGCCAAGTTCAAGTTCCCTGGGCGCCAGAAGGTAACTGGGGTGGGGGCTCTCCCCCAATCATGGTGGGGCTGTCTGGGGGTTGTGCTTCCTTTAGGGGCTGCCGGGGCAGGGACTGGCTGGCTTGGGGAGGCAGGAATGGGGCCTGAGGCCGTTCCCCCTCTACTGGGCAGCAGCTCGGATCTGGCCCCACGGCAGGGACTGGCTGGTTCGGGGGTGATGGGGTGGGAATGGGGCCTGGGGCCTGTCCCTCTCGGGGGGGCCCCGCAGCCAGTTAAGCCGACCGGCCCGCCTGCTGTGGGGGCCCGGTGTGCAATGGCTGCGCACAGCACCGCCCCTGGTTGTGTACGTGCTCCGTGCCCCGTACGGAGCGCCCTAAGGGACCGCGGGGACATGGGCATCAGAGGTGTGGGGGGGTGACACCCTAAGGGAACGTGGGGACACAGCTGGTGTCTGGGGGAGATCTCCTGTATAGCTGGCACCCCCTTAACCGCTGTCCCCACCCCCCCAGATCCACATCTCCAAGAAATGGGGCTTCACCAAGTTCAACGCGGACGAGTTCGAGGACATGGTGGCTGAGAAGCGGCTGCTGCCAGATGGCTGTGGCGTAAAATACATCCCCACCCGGGGGCCCCTGGACAAGTGGCGGGCCCTGCACGCCGCCTGAGCCCCCCGGCTGCCCCCCATCCCGGGGGCACCGCAACAGGAATAAAAGCATTGGCCTCTAATGCCTGCCTGTGTGTGCTGTGGGGCAGAGCTGAGGGGGGATCCTAGAGGCACAGCCCCCCACTTCCCTGGGGGGCAGCATGGGGCAGGATGCCCTGCTGGCGGGGGGGGGCAGGGCCTGGAGTAACTGAACTCCAGTGCTGTGGCTTGGGGACTGATGTGGGGCAGCTTGGGCCCCCCGCTGATAGGGATGGAGGCAGGTCCTGGCCCTGTGGGCTGCTCACAGCTCCCGCGGTGTCCGGCTGGCCAGGCGCAGGTTCACCTCCACGGGGTAATGGTCGCTGATCTGCAGGGCCTGGGGAGGGGGAGTTTAAATTGCTGGGGGGGTCAAGGGGTGTGCACCCCACTGCCCTCCCTGAGCTGGAAGAGAACCCAGCCCCCCCTCCCAGGAGTCCTGGGCCCACCCACTTCTCTTGGTTCTGGATGGTATCTGAGGGAGTGACACACTTCCTCTCCCCCCTGGCTGGGGGGGGGGTCCCCATCTCTGCTCCCTTCCTCCTCCCTTGTTGTGGCCGGGGGCAGTGGGGGGGTCGTTCCCAGATGCCAGGGTCCCCTCTCACCTCCTCCTCCGACAGCCCCAGGCTCCTGGCGAAGTTGTATGCTTTGGCTGAGCCGGGCACCACGGCTCTCAGCAGCTCGTCCCCCTGGACCACAATCCTGCGGGGCAGAGGGGGGGTGAGGGGGGAGCTGTCCCTTAACCTGCCCCTTCCCCCAGCTCTCTCTCCAGCCCCCCCCCACTGTCAGAGCAACCCCAAGGCTGGGGGTGCAGTGGGGAGAGAGGCAGCCTCCCTCGCACTCCTTTCCCCCAGGGGTTAACCGATAACCTCTGCCGGGGCTCTCTGCTCTGCCAGTACTCCCTGCCATGCAGGGACCCCCACCTGCTTTGGGGAGCTAGTCCCCCCGGGCTGCCCCGGTACCTGTCGTAGGCACAGTGGGTCCGGGCTCGCACCGTGGTATTGACGCCGTCCCCGATCAGCCAGTGGAAGCGGGGATCCCAGCGCAGCTGGATGGACCCCCAGGCACTGGGGGGGACATAGGCCCCCCCTGCGTTTAAGTCCCCTAGCACCATCACGTTCTGGTGGGGAAAGAGAGCAAGATGGGCGCCGGTCACCTGGGTCCTGTTCCCCTTCACCCCCACCCCACCCCCCAGGGCCTGAGAGCTGCAAGGGAACTGTCCCGGCCGCCTGGGTCCCGTTGTTCCCCCGTACCTGGGTTCCCCAGCGCTGGCTCAGTTCCTGGCAGACCTGGTGGAGCTGAGCGATCTCGTGGGGTGCATTCTGGGGGCTGGCATGATGGGAGAGCAGCACAAAGTCCTTGATGGCTGGGGGGGGGGGGGGGAGAAGAGAGCTGTTAGTGGGGGGGGACCTGATTCCCCCGCTCCCTCACTCAGTGCCGCTGCTGGTGCCAACCCAGCCAGGGGGTAGCTGTCCCCAGGCACAGCACGGGGGGTGGGGGGCACAGGGGGCATCCCAAAGCTGGAGAGGGAAATGGGGACTGGGGGAGGAAGAGGTGGATGGTGTCGGGGCAAAAGGGGACCCACCTGTGCTGGGCACATAGAAGCGGGCGGCAAAGGGTCCGCGGGCAAAGTCTCCAGCCTCCCCAAATTGGCACCAGTCCGTGACCGTCACCAGGTCCGCTCTACGGGAGAGCACAACGGGGTCAGGGTAGCCCCAGGGTGGGGAACGAGGCACGGGGCTTTCCCCCTAGGGGGCACCGGCTGGGATCTGGCCCCACCGTGGGGGCACCCGGGCTTGCCAGGGGCTGGGGAGTTACCGATACACGAAGATGATCTGCTCTTTGTAGGTCCCGCGGCCGAGTCTCCGGCTGCCCAGCTGGGCGTAGCTGTGGGATGGGTCGTACCTGCCCCGAGGAGAGAGTGGGGAACATCAGCGTGCTCACGCTGCCCTCTCGGCCAGGAGGGGACGCAGGAGTCCTGGTTCCCAGACCCCCTCCCCTCCCAGCACTGGGGTGGGAACCCAGCTGTCCTGGCCAGCCCAGTACCTGTTCAGCTCCCGCAGCAGGGCCTGCACCGCGTCCCCCTTTGCGTCCCGCACTTCCTGCACGGCAGCAATGTCACAGCGCACCAGGATCTGCAAAGAGACGCCCGCTCAGTGTGGGGAGCTGGGCGCTGTCCCGGCTCCCCTTCCCCCCCACCTCCCTGAGCCGGTACCTGCACCAGTGCGCCCATCACCCGGGCATCACCCGACTTGGCCTCCCCAAAGCCGTGCGTGTTGAAGGCGCAGATCTTGAAGCCGGCGCCGGCCAGGCGTAGCCCGAGCAGCAGCAGGGCCAGGGGGCGCATGGTGGGGCCCCGGGGAGCAGCAGCCAGGCAGGGACGAGGCCTGGGGGGTCTGTGTCCAGGCTGCGGTGGCCCTGCCCGCGGCTGCTCGCTGGCTGCTGAGTCAGCAGCTGGGGCATGGGGCCCTTTGTCCGGCTGAGCCCAGCACGTGCAGGGGAGAGAACCGCCTGGGCTGGGCCTGTGGCCCCCAGGCTGGGCCCCACATAGAACCCAGGAGTCCTGGCTCCTGACCCCCCCCACTGCTCGCTGCTGTAACCTATCACACCCTCCTCCCCTCCCAGAGACAGGGAGAGAACCCAGGAGTCCTGGCTCCCAGCCCTGCCCCCTCCCTGAGCCTGGGAGGGAGGTGGACCCGGGCTGCCCCCCAGGTGGTTTGTGGGGCGAGGGGAGGACCCAGTGCCAGCTGGCTGGGCTGGGGTTCTCCAGCCCCCTCTGGCCTGGCCCCAGCGGGCCCCCATTGGCCCTGGGTCTCGCTAGCTGCCCACTACAAGGTGCCCCCCTCAGCCCTGGCCAGCCATACTTGCATTCGGCTCCCTGCCCCCCCAGGACCCTGGCCTTGGGGTGGTGCCGACAGGACAAACCTGGAGGGGCAAGTGGGGAACGGGGGCTTTGCTCGTTCTGCCCTGAGGGTAAAAGTGACAGGAAACCTGCTGGCCAGGCAGGCCCCAAAGGGTTAAACCAGGCACCAGCTAGTGGGGGGGATCCCCTGTATACCTGGCCCCCGCCCCACTCCAGAGGTGGCTGCATCTCAGCCCGCGTGATGCCTGGGGGTTCTGGGCGCGCTCGTCGCTCACCTGGAGCTTGTGTTAATGGATGGAGGCTCGCGCCCCCCCAGCTCGGCCTGGCCTCAGGCTGGCAGCCCCGTCGCTGTGCTCTGGGTGTGGGCAGCACCTGGCACTGCTGGGGCCTGCCCCGATGCACCCGAATACCCGTCGCCGCAGTGGGTGCGGTGACGCCTGGCACTGAGCACACAGCAATCCCCAGGCTGACACCAAAGCAGGTGCGCGGCAGGGCCGGGCGCCCAGCTCACAGCGAGGTTAGCGCTGGCAGAGATGTAGAGCGGGGGGGATAGGCCAGCAGGAGTGAGTCAAAAGGCTGGGTCTGATCAGCGAGGAAAAGCAGTGACTTGGGGCGGGGACCTAGGCTAGAGGCCGTACGGCCATGTGTGGGGGGCAGACGGGCTAGAGGCCGTACGGCCATGCGTGGGGGGCAGATGGGGGGTGGGCTAGAGGCCCCTACGGCCATGCGTGGGGGGG